TAAACTTCAGGGGGTATGTTTGTAATTTATCCTTTTTATTAATTAGCCCTAATCACATGGATTCCAGGTTCTCTCAAGTGAACACACACCAATACATTCAAGATAGCTTCAAAATTAAGCAAAATAAGAATTCCAGTTAAGAAAAAAGACCATTCATTTTTTGAAAAACAAATGTTATGAAATCATTTGGTTTCAATTATTAGATTAATTTGATTTTTTTTATTATTAAATGTTTTACAATTGGGAGTCTAAAAAATTAATAGATCATATCATCGAAATAGGGTTCGTAGTGTACACTACTGACCTTGATTGAAGAAAAGTTACATTTGACATATATATATTTCAAAACTGGAAATATCATAAATTTAACTTCACAATGCTTTTTTTTAAAAAAAGAAAAATTGACTTCACAATGCTTGTTTGATACATGAAAAACACAATACCCTATCCCTATGGTAGTATATAATATAGTCTGTAACTCCAACCATTGTGTGAATACATAGTCCAACTAAAAATCACCCTTTAAAAATGATACAAGAACCTGAGTCCATTAATATCATCATCATTCAAATCTTTGGTAAAGTCAGAACCAATACTAGGCCACATGATAGAACCACCATCACTACTGTGTCCAAGTCCAAGAGTGTGTCCTATTTCATGCAACCCAATAGTCCCTATGTCTAATGCACCTGGTACTTTACCAACACCCCATTTCTCGTCTGCATCGAAGTGAAGCCTTCCATCCTTCAGTCCAAATGCATGAGCCAAAACTCGACCAGGGCCATCAAAGTTGCTTCCATCTCCATGATTCCAAGTCAGAAATGCAATTTTTATATCAGCATGATCAAAATCTGGATTTTTATTAAACGTGAATCGTCACACATGTGCCCATTTATGAAAAGCTTGAGCTACAGGACTGAAGGCATCCTAGGTGTCCCCGGTTGCAATGCATAGGTAAGATGGTACTTAGAAGGAGGCCATTTTATTTTCCCGGGGAAGAAAGTATAGTAAGAGCCTATATCGATGGAGTTAGGATTTCCTAACTTTAACTGCATCAAGTTAGTGCCATTGATGATATCTGGCACTCCACAACGAGGCATCATCATCATTGACACCGTATTAGCATCGAGTGTTCTGGTGACATTAAGATGGAAATTGAGTTGGTATAGTTTGATGGCGGACTCTAAGAGATTGTCAAATTCATCATTAGTGGTTTGATAGCTTAGGTAACCAAAATGTTGAAGCAATTTTTTGACCTTTTGGAGCCCTTTTATGTTGTCTGCCTTCCTAGCACCATTCAAGTGCTTAATCAAATGAAAGGGTGATGATGATTTCTCGTCTTTTGTGTTGTGGAAAATTTTGCATTGCATTGGAGAGGAAGGAGTATGAAGAGAAGAAAACTGCATGAGAAGAGGTGAGAAGCTTTGAGTGCCATGACTGAGGAGGAAAATGAGTTATTACTCTCCCATATGTTTTGATATATATTTATAGTACTTGTCAAGAGAATGAAACTTCAATAGAGTATTTAGCACTTGGTACCCTCCTCTTCTCTCATTGGTTAAGAGAGTTGAAATCACAAATTTGTGTTGGATGATTGAGAGAGCAATATAGCAAGCCATAGTACTAGTGATTAACAGAAAGTTCCGTATGAATTGATCTTGACACTTAAATTTCCTTTCTTTTTTATTTATTTTTGTTGTCCACAAATTTGTATACAAATTTTAGATCCAAATACAATCTTAAGGGGTTATTTGGGGTGCCCTTAATAAGTGTACCTTTTGACTTTTTGGACTAAAAAGTACAGGGAAAAAATATGGTTGTTTGAAATAACTTTTTGTCTTTTTGCAAAAAAAATGTATTAAAATATTGTATAAAATAGTAAAATTACTTTTTTATCCCTACGTTCTAGACTCATCAGTGACAGTGCTGCAGAAGGACCGTACGGAATGGTTGAAATGGTGAGAAGAATCTAAACCAGTTTCACAGGTACTGTTGGGCCCGTGGGGGCCCACCACGGGTCCCGTTTCGATAATCCAACCGTTCAATGTGTAGAACTCGTTGAGTACTATATGCCTATAAAAAATCACTTTGATTAGATATCGATAGTTATGTGATCAAAACAGTTTTGTATGAGAAAAATAGACGGTGAAAAATAAATGATTGGAAAAATTTTAATTTGATCACATAGCTATCCATATCCGATCAATGTGATTTTTTTCAGGCATATAATACTCGATAAGTTGTACACATTGATGGTTCGGATTATCGAAACGGAATCCGTGGCAAGCCCTCATAGGCCCAACAGTACCCTCCAACTTAATGAATATATATATTTAATTTTTTTTTTTCCGTTAATGATTGTATTAATTTTAATTTGATTCGATCTTGTGATTTGGTCTTAGATTCTTCTAACTATGGGTTCATTGCTTCATAGTCATGGCTGTGGGTTATATTTTTAATTTGTGAATAGTGATAATTTTTTTACTTTTTGAGTAATTTTTTGACTTTTTCTCAACATGCCAAACCAACCCTAATTTGACAAAGTAAAGTGCAATAAGAAGAAAAGGGTATCCAATTGGTAATTAGGTATTATAGAAAGTTATTTAGACAATTCTTAACTAATTACAAGATTAATGTTTAGGCCTCAAAATAAACCAAGGGAAGTGTAAATTAATGATATCAACATTTTTAATGCATAGGTAAGAAGATATCCACGTCTTTACCCATTCTGGTGTATGTGTATTGGAGCACGCTAAGGAATCTATAGTTGATTAGATTATCATGTCGAGAAATTAGTGAGAAGTGAGATAAATAATTACAAAAAAAAAAAAAATGGAAAAAACAGAAATTTTTGTAAAGTGGAACATTTATTGTGTTTTTCTACTCAGAAAAGAATTGCGCTCAGTATTTTTAATTTGTGAATAGTGATAATTTTTTTACTTTTTGAGTAATTTTTTGACTTTTTCTCAACATGCCAAACCAACCCTAATTTGACAAAGTAAGTGCAATAAGAAGAAAAGGGTATCCAATTGGTAATTAGGTATTATAGAAAGTTATTTAGACAATTCTTAACTAATTACAAGATTAATGTCTAGGCCTCAAAATAAACCAAGGGAAGTGTAAATTAATGATATCAACATTTTTAATGCATAGGTAAGAAGATATCCACATTTTTACCCATTCTGGTGTCTGTGTATTGGAGCACGCTAAGGAATCTATAGTTGATTAGATTATCATGTCGAGAAATTAGTGAGAAGTGAGATAAATAATTACGAAAAAAAAAATGGAAAAAACAGAAATTTTTGTAAAGTGGAACATTTATTGTGTTTTTCTACTCAGAAAAGAATTGCGCTCAGTCCACTTTGTCACAAACAGGACTTACTGTTTTTGGTAGAATATCACATGTGTCTAATTTTTTTCACTTTTCCATCTCACTTCTCTTTTTCCTTCTATAAAACTCTAATCAAATCCAACATCTAAAGCATAAAGAAAACACCAAATTTTATTTGGCCATACTAATTGAATAGAATTTTTCACTCAATCTTGTAATGAGATTCAAATCATTTAGATTGTGTTTGGATCATAACTTGAAGTAGAAATTTAGAAAGAAAAAAAATAAAATAAGAGAAGAAATATAAATAAATAAAAAAATCCATTCCCCTTGCCTTTTTCTTTTTCTTTTAAAATTCCTAACTAAATCTATGATTTAAACGCTACTTCGGCAAACATGTGCACGAGTTACATCTTACACTTTGGAGATTTTGTGCATTGTTTAACTTCTGTTTGTAGATTTTTATTTTAATTGTAGATTTTTGGGGGTAGTACGTTAAGGGCATGAATTCAACAAAAACTAAATAGTTATGCTAGACACCCCAAATAATTTATTAATTTTTTTATCAAACCTCTCACATAAATGTGGGACCCACTCACATATAAATTTGTGTAGATCTCACATCTATGTGAGAAATTTAATAAAAAATTTGATAGATTATTTGAAATTTATAACATTTTCCAAAACGAAATTGCACAAAAGCATTAAACATAAAGGCCAGATATAAATCCGAAGCTTGATATTATTACAAGAATATCTAACATTACACTTTTATCAAAATCTTACTTAATCCTTAGCACTATTATATTTTTACTTAAATCTCATTGTAGCCCATCTACTATAGTCCATCAGTCAATTTTCAAATCTACGTAATAAAACTGATCTCAATTGCAACTTCACTCGAAATTTAAAAGTTGGAACAACTAAACGGTAAATGGGTAAAATGAAATTAGGTGTAAAGTACATAAATGCAAAGTAGAGATTATCATGATCTCACCATCACTTCTCTGAGAAAGGAGAGAGAGAAGGTAAGATAGAAGATGCATTTGGAGGATTGTGTGCATATGCAACGAAGACTTGCTAAAAGGGGTCATATAAAGTTGGTTTGTACCTCTATAAAAACATACAAAATGGATTAGTCTTTGCACCATAGAAACCTTGCCTACCATAATATACTTGCTAGTATTGCTCTTTTGGGGTGCATTTGTCACCATTCCCTCAATTGCTCATAATAACAATCATAGCAATAAACTCCTAAATAAGGAAAGCCAAGTAGTTCTTGCTAAGCATCAAGATTGGCAACTAGAAAACAAGACAACTGTTCAATTTCATGGTGCTAATGAGTCTCATCATGGGGACAATGATAATTTATTAGCCTCCTTAACTCAAGAGGATATGGAACACCAACTGCCGCAGCCTATAGGCCGCTGTGATATGGACGACCACGGCCAGAACGACCGACAGGACCTTGACGACTACAACGACAACCACCACCAACAGAAACGCCAGATGAGGAAACCCTATGGCCAGAAGATCTGTCACCACAAAGATGGCCACCTCGCGGACCGCCAATAGAGCCACCAAAAAGAACCCCCACCGCCAGAAGATCCGAAGATGCATTTGGAGGATTGTGTGCATATGCAACGAAGACTTGCTAAAAGGGGTCATATAAAGTTGGTTTGTACCTCTATAAAAACATACAAAATGGATTAGTCTTTGCACCATAGAAACCTTGCCTACCATAATATACTTGCTAGTATTGCTCTTTTGGGGTGCATTTGTCACCATTCCCTCAATTGCTCATAATAACAATCATAGCAATAAACTCCTAAATAAGGAAAGCCAAGTAGTTCTTGCTAAGCATCAAGATTGGCAACTAGAAAACAAGCCGACTGTTCAATTTCATGGTGCTAATGAGTCTCATCATGGGGACAATGATAATTTATTAGCCTCCTCAACTCAAGAGGATATGGAACACCAACTGCCGCAGCCTATAGGCTGCTGCGATATGGACGACCACGGCCAGGACGACCAACAGGACTTCGACGACTACAACGACAACCACCACCAACAGAAACGCCAGATGAGGAAACCCTATGGCCAGAAGATCTGTCACCACAAAGATGGCCACCATGCAGACCGCCAATAGAGCCACCAAAAAGAACCCCCACCGCCAGAAGATCCGCCACCATGAGGTCGACAATCGCAGCCACCACGAAGACGACCACCACGTGGACCAAGAGGACGACCACCTCATGGACCGCCAATAGAACCACCTCCACCAGAAGAACCACCACCACCTGAAGAAGAACCACCAAACGAGCCACCTGATGAACCACCACCAAAACCGCCTCAAGAACAACCGCCAAGGAGACGACCACCACAGCGGCAGGGAAAACGGGCAATAAGACCACCAGGAGTGTTGCAGCTATGACCACCCACAGAAAGCTGGTGGCTAATAAAGCAAAAGCCAGCAGTGTTACAACTTGATTTCTACCCAAAACGCCGTCTGGTGAAGAGTGCTAAAGAGTAACAGAGCTACAAACTACCTAATAAAGCTTTACACCAACTCCAACTACAATATACAACTCAGTCAATAAATAGTGAATGTGAAATAAGAGCTATTTTTGCTCCACAATTGTATGATTCTAGTATAAATCGATACAATGCACCCATAACACATCAAAAAAAATGTATATATCTTCATTGGAACCTTTTGCAACATTATTTTACCAAATAATAATATGATAGTATACATTATCTTGATAATTTACGGTTTGCTAAAAGTAATGCAATGATGATGCAATTGATAGCACAGAACAAGTATACATTTTTCTACTGAACAAGACAAGATGCGCAAAGCTTATCAACATGCTGTAGACTCAATTTAAAGAGCAAGTATTGAAAAATAAATAAATCATTTTTTACAAAGATGGAGTTACTACAAAAGCCAATTGACTTTCGAGTGTTTAATAAGAATATCAAATCGATGAAAAGCATGAGAGACAACTGTACTGATACTTCAGCTGAATCTAAAATTGTTCCTTTACATGCATAATTTTACCTGGCTTCCGGCATTGATGAACAGAGAGTATCCATTCTTTAAATTCAGGAAGGTATAAAAATGCACATAAGAATGTCCCACGCACTCCTGAAATCACAACCATGACAGAATGTGGTTGAAAATGTAAGCAAGCAGATTCTTGCAAGTGGGAATGCTGATCTGCAAAGCAACGTTCAATTGAAGCAGATTAATAATTATTAATAATAATAATAATAATCATTATAAAAAATTTAAATAAAAAAAAAAAACTAGAATTATATAAATAAATGGAGTAAAGTTGAGTAACATACAAGTTACAACAATTTAATGAGATACATTTGTTGAAGTTGATCAAGAACTTCTAGTTCTCAACATAAATTCAATACTCGGCAGTAGAGGAAGCACCTGAACATCAAAGATAAGTGCATATTTTATGTGCAGAACTTATGATAGAACTCACAATATGAAGTTGATCATGTTAAGCTTAATCCAAATTCAAATCATGGAGCACAACCACTCCAAAACAAAAGATAATTTTTTGAACTCATACAATGCATGTCATGGAATTCCGCAAAGTTATAATGAATTCCTAGCACAAGGGCTTTATGAATTTTGCAGTCACAATGATATAATCATGTTTCCAAAGTGCATCACACAAAGTAGAACAAAGGTCTAAGAAATTTTGAATATTCTTTTTGACAAGAGCTAGGCCCCATATCAATTACAGGATACCACCTAAGAAAGAATAATAGGTAATATGTTTTGGTATTTTTAGAAAGTTGAATTAACTTTCTCAAATTGGTAAAAAGGATAGGCAGGAAGTATTGTAGTTTGACAGGTGGCATTTAAACCAGGTGCCCAAGCATGATTTAAATAACTTCTAATTCGAAAGATTTCTAAGGAACTCGAGTAAATTAATAAGAAAACTTTTGAATAGGCAAAACAGATAGGTTCGGGATTTGTAGGTGAAACTGGACTAAAGTTGGTTTGATTTCAAGTGTTGTTGCTTGCTGAATTTTCAGAGCTAGTGCTGTTAGAAGGCTTGGAAAACAGCTATTTAATGGGGTTACCATAGTAGGTAAGGAAGCAGTTAGGGTTTACTTGGGGTTTTGGGCTAAAATGTTAACTTTGGGAGGGTTGTGACCTGAGAATAGTAGTTAAGTATTTCGCTAAGAGGAAAAACAAAAGAGAGAGAGAGAGGCATTTTAACCTCACAAGAGTAGCAAATTCACACAAATAGAATCTCGAATTTTATAAACTGAACTCCATAAAACAAAAGAATTAGATTGACATTTGCAAAACTATCTTTCGTAATTCTATAAGAATTCTCTCCAACTAACAAACTTTAACCAACTAGAATATTGTAGACCTTATAAAGGCTTACCTATCTGAGTTCTTAGAGGGCTCATCTCCATCCAGTGGCACTGATACTTGTACTCTCTCAACAGAATGTGGACTCTTAGGCATTTGACGACCAAACTTGAATCATTTTCTACCATCAGTCACTACTTCCACTAGTACCCATGCTAGTACTACCACTGCATCCCATTTTGCCCAAATAGATATCTAGCTAGTTCTTATTATTCCTCCATTGTTCTTACTCCCTAGATTATCAATTTCGGTTGCTATTGACCACATGATAGGTTCTTCAAGTTCTTTCTTTAATTATACCCCATATTCTGACAAGAATAAGGTTAGGATGGCAGATGATTCTTTCTAATCTGTTTCAGGAAAAGGATTTATTCACTGTTCTCCATCACCAACTCTTTTCGCCATGCTTCATGTTCCTAATTTTACTACTAATCTAATTGTCCATTAGTAGAATTACTTAGGCTTTGAATTGCGAAGTTACATTCTTTCCAACCTATTATGTTTTACAGGAAATGGACATGGGCATAATGATTGGCTGGAACTCGTGTGTGTGGGGTTATATCTACTGGACTGTGGCTCCTCTTCACCTTTACCTCAAATTTTCTAAAATTGGTCAAGCTCCAAACTACAACATTTGAAGATTTACATCTATGGCATAGGCAACCAAGTCACTCGTGTTTTAGTGTTTTAGAAAACTTTCCATCTATAGCTAAGTAGGGTAAAATACTAATTTATTTGATACTTGTGAGTTTGCCAGGCATAAACGTTCAACTTATCCTAGTTGTAATAATAAGAGCACTGCTCTTTTTATGCTTGTTCACTATGATGTTTGGAGTCCATCTCAAATTATCTTTTTATCATCAATAGTTTGTTATATTTGCCGATTGTTATTCTAGAGTAACACGGAGCTATCATATGCATACCAAAGTGAAATGTTTTCTTACTTCAAGAATTTTCATAAGATGAAGAATCTTAGTTTGATTCAAATATTCGAGTTCACAAGAATGACAACAGAACTGAATAGATCATGGCCAAGGTTTCAAATGACAGTTGTGAAACGAGTGTGGCGTAGCAATTGTGGCAACCAGAGCTGTGAAATTTTTTTTATTTTTTTGGATAAATTACAAATACAGCTCCTAAGATTTGCCTAAAATATGAATTGCCTCCTGTGGTTCTGGAAATTACAAATACCCCCTTGTCGGGATTTTTTTATTTAACAAAATTAACAGAAAAAATAAAATTCCTAACTACTCTCTCATACAACAATAAAATTACTTAAATTATTAATTGAAATATATTTCTGACATCATTACCAATACACCATTTTTTTTTTATCTAGAATCACATTTGTTGAGGTTTAAAATAATTTTTGAAAGATTTAGTATATTTCTTTTAATATTATCTATTATATGTCCTAAATTTTATATTATTTTTAAGTTGCTATGAAGAGAGATTTGACATCTTTTGCTTTGAACATTTAATGATTTCATGAATCACAAATTCATAATGTACCACTTATTGTTATTTATTTTGTTAATAATAATTATAGACTTATAATCTTATATTGTGTTTCAAATTTGCAAACGTATGTTCAATAAATAAATGTGACTACTACTGATGTTATTTATTAAACAAACTAAAATCATATAATTCATATATTCAAGTTATACAAATAACACAACATACAACTTAATAAATTACAACTATATATATGTCCAATCTTTAACGTTGAATAAAAAAATAAATGAGTAAAAAGAGTGCTGCTATTAGCACCCCATCAATTACTCCCCATTTTTTAGCTTTTTTTTTTATTACAATAATAATCTCAAATGAAATTACTAAAAAGGATATCAGTAATTTTAGGACACCCCATCTCATAATTAAGTTTGCACACCTATTACATCATGAGTTAGAATTTATGAGAACTCCCACCTCCATCACCACCACCCATTCATCTTTCCCAAATCCCACCTTCAAAACCTATCCACCCTCAAAACTTTAAAAATCCTTCAGCGGCAATATTCCGACAGTAACGGTGGCAACCATTTAATTACCGACACTTCTCTGGTAATGACAATGAGTGAAGCTTTTTCCGACAACCACAACTCCATGAGACGAGAGGCATGCAACAATAAAAGCTCAGAAGAGATTCATAACTTTGATGGTATTCTTAGCTTAGAGGAGATTGGCCTTATAAGAGTAAGTTTCTTAAAAACAATGGCAAAAATAATAAAAATTGTGTATCATTTTTTCAAGACATATGACCGAAATTCGAAAACACGAGTCCAAACATTGTTTATTTGTTCGGGAACAGGTTACCGAACATTTCTTATTTGTTTGGGAACAGATAATCGAACATTATTAATGAACCTTTGTCACACTTTAAAATCACAAAGCCCAGGTAAGATAAAGAATAAGAATTGAAACTATTAGAGAATTCAAAGAAACCCACCTGAGAGATCACAAATCCAAACTCGTGGAGATCGCAGAACCTACAAAAAGAGAATTTTGAATCAACAACAAAAAACCCTACATTTATTTTCTCAAGTCATGAACAAGTATGTAGCGATGAAATAGTAATCACTTTCGTGGATTTTGTTAGGGTTTTTGAGAGAGAGACTTTTTAGGATGTGGGGGTGTGCATTCAATTGAATGGGTGGAATGTTTTCACAATGATAATTTTGATATTATTTGGGGTGAGAAAAGAAATTTTAAGGGTTTTAGAATTTATAAGTGAGGTCCAAAATAATTGATAGAGTACTAATAACAGCACTCTAAAAAAATGGCTTTTATAATAGACATTGTCACCACTGTTGCATAACTGCCATAACGGTGTCATAATGGCTAATTATGTAACGTTGTAGCTAGTCGTTAACGCCCATGAAATTCAATCATGTTGCTATAGCAATTGTAACAAGTAGTGGTGACTACCCATACAATTACATAACAGCACTACGTAATTGTTGCGGCCCATTTTTAACCACAATCATGGCACGCTCCATCAAAAGAGCTACGTTGAGATACTCCACCAGAAAACAATGTTTCAAAATGGAAAAACCGCCATTTCTTAGAGGTTGCTAGACCTTTTCTATTCACAATAGCTTTTCCAAAACCTTATTGGGGTCATGCAATCCTAACTGTTAGATAGCTTGATATGCATTGTTGGACCCATTTCCTAATAGCTTAAGCTTTTGGGATAATTGGTGACTTAACATGATATCACAGCTTAGGTTGTGAGAGGTCTTGAATTCAAATCTTTTTGTTGGCATTTGGCATTCAATTCCCATTTGTTTCTGCTCAACTGTTTGGCTGTATGCTTCTCTTTTTGTTTGGTTCTTTGTTTGTCTCTCTGCGTGGAAGATGCCGATGGGGTTGCACTTGCGGGAGGGTGTTGGATAGCTTGATATATATATACATTGTTAGACCCATTTCCTACCATCTTAAGCTTTTGGGACAAACACTTAGTGAAGAATTTTTTTTGAGGGTTAAGGTTGAGCATCAAATACCAGTGGTTGTTATCTATCGTTAACATGGCCTCTTCTTCCCGTCCAGCTACCCAGAACATGGCCTCCTCGTCCCGTGGTCTGCTCACGCTCTTTCCAGACCTGAACGAGTCCACAAGAGAAATAACTGGTGCGGTGGCCAGTGAACCTCAACCAAGCGCCTCTGGTTTTGCTCCGTTGAACTTTCTGATGCAGTCGGTGGAGCAAAAAATGGCGGTGCAAACGGATATTGAGGCCAATCAGTATACTTTGAAGTCATGTGTTGAAACCATGATTGCGGTCACAAACTTGTCGCACCGGCTGCAGAGTAGGACAAATGAGGTACACCAGTTAAACGCCCAGCTGGCTCTGCTCCAACGCATGTATAAGGATGCGCGAGCAGAGATAAGCGTGCTAAAGGCGGAAAACAAGGAGCTGAAGCGGAAGGCCACCGTGATGTTCCGATTTGGAGGTCCACCATATGCTGCAGTGGAGGAGCAGGGGGGAGGGAACGTGCTCGGTGGATTAGGAAGCACGGAGGCAGCACCGTCAAGGATCGCCCAGGACGGAGGCAAGAAGAAAAGACCGGCGGAATAAGCGAAGAAGTGAGGCCGGTTGGTGGCCGGCTGCAGAAAAGAAAACAAAGCTGTTGGTGTTGTGTGGTGGTTTGTCGTTGTTGTAGTTTTTTTTTTTTTTTTTTTGTGTGTAAAATTGTAATCGGGGTGGATCCCTGAGATGAATAAAATATGGTTTGGTGTGCAAAGTTATATGGTATGAAGGGAATTGGAAAAAGATTAAAAACAATGTGAAAGAAAAATAAAGAAAAAATAATAAAAATATATTGGAAATCAAAAATGAAATATGGGGGAAATAAGGAAAGTGGTTTGGAGAAAATAAATAAAAAGAATGGAGTTGGAAATCAAACGGAGGAGAGATGATGATGTTTTTTTTTTTTTTTGTTTTTTTTTTAATTTTTTTTGTTTTTGTTTTTATTTTTTTTGTTTTTGTTTTTGTTTTTTTTTTAATATAATATAATAAAAAAAAAAAAAAAAATATTATATAGATTTTATTCAAATGTCATGGCAAAGTGGTTTAGAATTATGCTTTCACTCCAAGAACAAGAGTTCAATTCTAACCAACAACAACTTTCTTTTTAATTTTTGCTAAGCCACCAAGCTAAGCTGTCTAACTCAGTAATATAGGAGCAATTATCTAGTGCTTCGTAGCGCACCATTCTCAATCGATCTGAGCCGTCAATTTTATTTTGGCTACCACTACGCCATTAGGAGTCCGATTCCAATGATTCAATAGTTGTTTCCAGCTATTTTGAGCCTTCTGAACACATTCGAGCAGTTTAATTTTGTAAATTCTGAGTCGCATATTGCGATCAATACATCATCCAATCGGGACCATTAAATGCAAAATCAACGGTCAAATCATATCCGATCGGCACGAAATTTTAGCAGCAGGATCTTGGGGCTAGGAAATAATCCTCCGTCTTTCCTGATTAGCCATTTCATTACCTTGGCCATTTTATTTTTCTGCTTTTCTATTGGGGCATCTCAGCCGATCAAAATCTCGGCACCTCTACTAAACATTACAACAAAATTTACTAGAGTTATAAACTTTCGTTCCTTTTCACACCACTCCAAGCAAGCGCCAGTTTTGGGGCAATATATTACACACTTGGCAGTCGACAGTTTGCATATTTTCGCGCGCCGTCATTTTCCTAGAGCCGGCTCTGCCTCGCACCATTGCTGGGAAGGCTCATTTACCTATTGAGAATTTGAGGCTTATTTTGCAAGGGAATGTGTTGCATGACAACAAAAATGGTTTAGATGAATTCGTCCAACTGAATAATGAAGATTCGCTGATTGTTGCTGTCAAACCAAAGCCACCAGTTAAACATATTCAGGATGGGCTGGATGAAGATGATGATGAAGGTATGTGTAGAAAATTTTAGCGGACTAGGTTGAGGTCCGGCGGGCGGCCAAGACGAGGTTGCCGCCCGCCGGCGAAGCGAAAAATACTAAATGCTTAACCTTGCCCTGATACCATGTAAAATAAATTGATAGAGAGAAAATAACTTGTATGTATTATTGATTGATGTATCTTATATTACAAATGGTGAGGGACTCCTTATATAGGAGATGTAGTGGAGTAGGTAGTAGTAGGTGGTAGTGGTAGGTGTGTAGTAGGTGGTAGTAGGTGGTGGTAGGTGTAGTAGGTGGAGTAGGTGATGGTAGGTTTTAACATTATTAATGAACATTTGTCAAACTTTAAAATCACAAAACCTAGGAAAGATAAGGAATAAGAATTGAAACTATTAGAGAATTCAAAGAAACCCACCTGAGAGATCACAGATCCAAACTCGTGGAGATCGCAGAACCTACAAAAATAGAATTTTGAATCAACAACAAAAAAACCCTACATTTATTTTCTCAGGTCATGAACAAATATGTAGCGATGAAATAGTAATCACTTTCGTGGATTTTGTTAGGGTTTTTGAGAGAGAGAGAGGCTTTTTAGGATGTGGGGGTGTGCATTCAATTGAATGGGTGGAATGTTTTCACAATGATAATTTTGATATTATTTGGGGTGAGAAAAGAAATTTTAAGGGTTTTAGAATTTATAAGTGAGGTCCAAAATAATTGATAGAGTACTAATAACAACACTCTAAAAAAATGGCTTCTATAGTAGACATTGTCACCACTGTTGCATAACTGCCATAACGGTGTCATAATGGCTAGTTATGTGACGGTGTAGCTAGTCGTTAACACCCATGAAATTCAATCATGTTGCTATAGCAATTGTAACAAGTAGTGGTGACTACCCATACAATTACATAACAGCATTACGTAATTGTTGCGGTCCATTTTTAACCACAATCATGGCATCCTCCATCAAAAGAGCTACGTTGAGATACTTCACCAGAAAACAATGTTTCAAAATGGAAAAACCGCTATTTTTTAGAGGCTGCTAGACCTTTTCTATTCACAATAGCTTTTCCAAAACCTTATTGGGGTCATGCAATCCTAACTGTTGGATAGCTTGATATGCATTGTTGGACCCATTTCCTAATAGCTTAAGCTTTTGGGATAATTGGTGACTTAACATGGTATCAAAGTTCAAGTTCAGATAAGTCTAGGGGGTTCAAGTCTCTCTGTTACTTCTTGTTTTTTTGTCCCCATTTGATTTCTTCTCTATTTGTTTGTTTGTTTCTCCTTCTATTTGATTCTCTATTTATCTCTTTACATGCAAGACGTGATTGCACGTTAAGGAGTGTGTCGAATAGCTTGATATACATCGTTGCACATGGTATCAGAGCTCAAGTTCAAAGAAGTCTTGGGTTCAAGTCTCTCTCTTTGTATTTTGTATTCTATCCCCATTTGGTTTGTTCTCTATTTGGTTATTTTGTTTCTCCTTCTATTTGATTATCTGTTTGTCACTTCACGTGCAAGATGAGGTTGCACATGAGGGTGAGTATTGGATAACTTGATATAAATGCCTATTAGGCCTATTTCCTAACAACTTAAGCTTTTGAGATAATTGATAACTTAACACTGACTAAAGCCTATTCATCAATCAAATGTCTAGCAGTGTTCATGGGTTTAAAACTCCTCTTGATCTTTTATTAGATAGCCAACCTTTGCATCCAATTGCTCCCAATGCTAAGTAGAACAGACACAAACATGCAAGATGACATGGACACATTAAGAAGTCAATTTTCAAAAAATGCAAGACATCATACACACGGGACATATTAAAAATATATTTTTCCATAAATTTATCATATGTTAAATATATAAATAATTTATTCAAAGGTAATGAGGAGGGAAAAACACTAACTAAAATTAAAAAGTCATATATTCCATAACTTAAACATCAAGATATCATTCACATTACAATTGCAATTTAAAGAATGCAAAACAATTGTAGAAAATTAAAACACACACGATGTATTCATCATATAAATTATTCAAAACATATTTAGAATATAGAAGTTGCATTCCGAAAAATATAGAACCTTGTTATTATGAAGAGATTCATCAAATTGGTTATGTTCAAAAGGTTCAAGAAGTGCATGTAAAGTGTCAAATATTATAAATTTTAATTTTAATTAAGATACAATGCAAAAATGTTGAATGTGCTTTTCAAACTGTTGTATCCGACACTACATGCCCTTCTCCATTGAAGTGTATGTTCTTAGTCCCAAAGTGTTTAGTTGGGTGTCTACTATTCATGAGTATCATTGCTACTAGTACTAGGTAAGATTAACCCTAAAGCTCTGAAGTGTACTTTTAATAGGTATTGATATTTTAGCCCATACGACCAAGCTAGGATGAATTGTTAGGCCAATTTATTAAATGGGCCAAGCTTGGGAATGTTTCATGCAGCCCGCGCTGACCCGATTATTAATATATTATATACATGCATATTTATTAGTGTATATTGTCTTACATGGACTCCTCCATTTCGCCCAAAGTACTCGTGTCTGCCGGATATGACAAGGGTAAAGGTGTTCAAGGGGTCGTGTCTACCGGATATGACAAGGGTAAAGGTGTTGAACGACTTTGACACCCCTACTCAATTAAGACACTCGTATCATTTTTTTTTTCTTTTCTTTTTTAAATAATTTTTGAACAAGAACAAGAAGAAACTCACATTTCTAGCCTCCACACATAGATGAGAAATAGAAATTCTTATATTTTTCTTAAATCTTATTTTCTTCCAAGTACATTTCTACAGAATTTAAAACATGTTATCTAACAATATATTATACAATGTGCAATATATACAACTATCTATAATGCGTGCTCGTACTCATATCTAACTTTCGAGCACATATCCTAATATCCCAATGTTATGTTTGGTTCATTGAAACATTCTTTAGTCTCCTAATGGAATGACCATTCACTTAACTAGTGAATGATGAATCCATTTGCAATGTATATTTCATATTTTTTTAGTGAATCAAATGTGAGAATGGGTATTCTAATGAAATAGTAATTCCATTCTACCTTCATTCCAATGAAACAAACACCACCTAAGATTCAGATTTATAAAGGTTTGAAGCTTAAATAAGCACCCGCACCCAATACTCATATGATGTAAAATAGTGTGCATATACATTGTTAGACTTATTTATGTGCTGTTTGGTAAGTTTAAAAGTTACTACTTTTAATTTATAGAATACATTAAACATGTTTTAAGTTTATTTGCTATAAAAAAAAATTATAAAAAAAAAATTAAACAAAAAACACATTTAGTTCACACATGTTTTAAATACTTTAAAACAAGTGAAAGGGTGGTCCGCATGAGGTTGTCGTTGATTGGAGATGATGGGCGGAGGTGGTTGTCAACCGCCAGAGGTGGCGGCCGAAGGTGGTTTGCCAAATGCAAGAGATGGTAGACAAAATGGTTGCTAGTGGTCAAAGTTGATTAACAGTCAGAGATGGTGACCGACTAGCCACCAAAGATGGTAGCTGAAGGTACTTCCTGGCAAGAGATGATAGCCGATGGTGGTTACCAATGGTTGGAGGTGGTTGGTGGCCATGGGAGTTGATTGCCAACCAACAGAGGTGGTTGTCAATGGAGGTTATCAGGTACGGTGATGTGTGGTAGTTATGAGCAGTGGGTGATGGTCAAAAGGGGTGGTGAACAAGTGAAACCAACTTTTTTTATAGTTACAAAAGTTTAGTAAATTTTATAAATTGTGATCACTTATTAAAAACGAAAATAGAAACCAAACAAATCCTTTTTACAATTTTTAAAAATTCTGTAAACATAAACAACAAAAAAAAATAGTACATAAGCGTTAATAAATTGATTGATGGGATCAAGCCAATAGATATCAAAACACAATCTTTAAAGCAATTGTTTGAAAAGAAAAAATAAAAGAGGGGGGAGACACAAAGGACCATTTCAACATTACAATGAGTCAAATAATATACATAATACAAAAAGAGAGCAGATATAAAATAATTATATTTCATCTATAACATTATAAACATTGTGCATCAATAATAAACAACAAAATCAAGCATTAATGACTTTGACACCTTAGGTTTGATATATTTAGGCCAACTGTAAACAGCTAAACCAAAGAAGCTCAATCACTTCCTCTGGTGCACAAAGAATGCTGAGAGGACATTACAAGCACTGAACTGAACCTCTATAATCTTATCTAAGTTCACCATATATCTGCCTTGAGAAAATGGCAGGCAATGAGGAACAGATTGTTGAGCAACGCAGTCTGTCTCCGAATTGGAAGGATCTCACTTGGGCATATATCAAAGACGAGAAAGTTCTGCATAAGGAATATGCAGAAACACATCAGTACAGGAAGAACAAGAAGAGATCATAGCATAAACTGTATACTGATGAAGATGAAACAGACAAGAAATTCATAGGAAAAGAATATTGAGTTTGAAAGAGCACAAGCAGACACGTTTCACAAAGTCGAAGCAAACTAAGAAAACAAAACTGAGTGTGAGAGACAGAGAGACCACAAATTGAAGTAGAAGACGTCACCAATGAATATTATTACAAAGAAAATGCCAATGGCAGCTTGAATAGCACAGATGCGCACTCAAAATGTAGAAGATAGATGGGTTCCTCAGTGTTGTAAGGCTCATTGTTGGACCAGCAATCTTCCATTTAGACTAATATCTTTACACTATCTTTTCTTCTTTTTTTCACTTTTCACGTTTCCATCTGAAACATGAGCATCATGTTTTGCATACAGAAACAAATACAAGCACTGTGTAGTCAGACACACAACTATACTCAATTCAACTAAACAAGCAGTTGTCCCAATTACCTGGGGTAACCTGCATGGATCCAGTTCCTCCAATTGACTCTATTCGAAGTTGTATCCCAATATCATTAAGTCAGGTTAAGACAATCATGCCATTTTTCTTCACTTTAACCTATATTTTCCTTCGCCTTACTCTATTCTTACTACCCTCCACATGAATCAAAACATTCATTATGGGCACATTAATGAGTTCTATGATCCACATGGTCATGACTCATACCATCTCAAACAACTTTCCCTCATTTTATCATCAATTGGGTGCCACTTCAAACTTCTTTCTAATGAATTCATTTCTTATCTTATCTTTTCTTGTAACACTGCTCATCCAACTCAACATTCTTCAACTTCATAAATTTTCAGAGCATGTTTTTCTCTTAACTGCCAAACATTCAGGCCTCATTTGGGAACAGGCTAATTTAATAACTTTTTGGTTATTTGGCTAAAATATGAGCTAAAAAAAACTAATATGTTTGGGATGACTTTTTGGCTTTTTACGAAAAGATGTGCAAAAAGTAGAGAAAAAAGAGAATCTTTGACTTTTTGATATGGGTTGTTGGCTTTTTGGCTAACTTTTTTGGCTTTTTGGCTAAACCGGCCGCTTCCCAAACGAGGCCTCAGTCCCATAATCTTTCTTTTTTTGTGCTTGACAACTAGGAAATATTTAATAAATACAAGAAAAAATGGGCATACAAAGAGGTTCAAAGACTATGAAAGGTCTTCTAAATTGAAAATAAACAAAAACAAAAACAAATAACATGTAGCTCTACAATCTCTAGGATTCTGATACTGTTATTCTGAACAATATGAGCTTCCAAATCCTTTAATGTTCTCATCCTCATCAGAGTCATCAATATGCTCAGTAGAGCCATCCCTGGAATCATCCTCATGGTCTTCAAGGCCAACTACGCCTTTCTCATGGTGGGCCACTTTGTCGATGGTATCGTGAAGATATGTGTGTATATGGTATTATGAGATGAAAATGAACCAAATGTCAATTTCTTTGGAGGATTTGTGAAGTGGACCAACTCCATTAATGTTGTGTGCTGCTATCACGAATACATTCTCTTTGTTTGTTCATCATCATTGTTGATAGAATGGAGAGCATGAAGATGGAGGGTAAAATCGTCCAAAGTATAATCTCATGCCAATTGTGTGTCTGTCAATTCGGAAAAATCAAGGAACCTAATCCATTAAAAACTGTTGGAGTGTCCAATGATAAAACTGTTGTGAGGGACTTTGCCAATTTCCTATAAAAAGCAAAATTGAATATACTCTTGTTTTTATTCTGAAAATTCTATGCAACAAATATAAACTGTTTTAGCCTAGTCATGACATTTAATATTTGAGGATAAAACTCTCCAAAAAATGAAAAAAAGTATAACTTACGAACCTATAAAAATAAGAAATACCATACCATTCCACCAATAAAACAATAAGAAATAATAACTAAAAGATCCTTAAATTTGCTAACCTCTTTCATTCTCCACTCCAATCTATCAATTCGCAGCGTGGTACATACAGCTTTGTCACTTGTACCTCTGCTTCAATATCATTTACTACACCGCGGCATCTTGGAAAACCACAATAACAAGCAAGCTGCTCGTCAATCGAAAAAAATCTGCAGTATAAAACAAGAATGGAGAATGCATAGTTAATATCAGATCTGAAGGAACAGGATTTTATTATGCAAGCCAATGTTTTAAAAAACTCTAGGCCCATTGAGGCGCTAAGGTCTCTTGGAGCTTAAGCGTGAGGCGCAAGGCGAAGTGCGCGCCTCACCGAAGCGAGGTGCAAGTTTTTGAAGATAACCAAAATATTAATATAGGCAAAGTTTTTAACATAAAACATATATTCTTAGAATTTAAATTTTTTTTTAAAAAAAAGAAAAAGAAAAAGAAAGAGAAAAAAAAAATGACATTCAATATTTCAAAAATCATGAAAAATAGCATTCAACATTTCAAAATTTTCTCAAAAATAACATTCAATCTTACTTTGCCCTATACTATTTATCTTGCTTTATCAATTTCTTAACGTGATTCATTTCTTTTTTAAGACAAGGAACTCACACTATATAATATCTTAGTGGTTTTAATTTTAAATCGGGACCAAATTGCCAAATAACTTCAATCATTAGCCCGAAACTATTGTAATTTACTATATTGAAAGGAATCCCAAAGTCATATATCCATCTTGCAATCCCAGAGTTTTTGCTTAACGCCTAGAGCTTTTTTTGATATGAAAATTGAGACTCAAAACATGTGTTTACATTTTATATTAACAGGGTTGTAATTCCATATGCTTACACAAACAAAGAGTAAGGATGGAGCAAAAATTTAAATAAAGCGCATGAGGCGTGCACCTCGTGCCTAAGCCTAAGGCGCACACCTCAAACGGGCCTTTCCTACTGCGCCTCGCCTCAAGCTGTCTAAGGCACCTCCGTGCGCCTCGCACCTAAGCATGCAGTTAGGCACGCCTTTTAAAACACTGATGCAAGCAGTATAGGAGACAGAAATTTTAAACAAAAAAATCAGAAACCGTGTAGTTAAGAAGAATGTAACTACAGAGAAATACTTCGAGAAATACCTGTAATCATATGTCAGTTCTTCCCAATGTTCAATATCTCTTTTGGCAAATATAATTATATGCTCATCGCCATTCACACTTATAACCCTTGAGTAGCAATTAGGCTGCACAAAAGAACAGAAACTTTTGTCTAAGAACCAAACTATAGTACCATGCTTTCATTTAGAAACAGATGCAGCGTTAAGTACATCCATACACCATAGTAACGCTACTCTCTCTGAAGTATTCCTGAATGGCAAAAGAAAGTTGAGAGTTTTAGGCTGCGTTTGGTTCATGGATTTGAAAAGGGAAAGGGAAAAAATGTGTGAAATGTTGGTGAAATCACCTACCTTTTCCCTTTCCTCTTCCAAATCCTTCTCCAATCCATGAACCAAACAAAGCCTTAAGCAATTGGCCATGTTTGGGAAGAGAGCCATTTTGCAAAAAAGCCACTACAAGTTGTCAACTCATCCTCTCTACATTTGCACATCGTTTTGTAAAAAGCCAAAAAGCAACTAAAAGGCTAATTCCCAAAGAAGCCTAATATTACAATTTCCCATATGTGAACAGGGAAAGACGTGGTATTCACATTTCTTATAAAAACAGTAAAAAAATGCAATACGCCATATAGGCCTTCAAATAAGGAAGACATTGATTCAAGGTTGACTTCGAGAAAGCAGAACCGGCCCTAGGCTTAGGCCATTGAGGCCTATGCCTTAGGCCCCAAAAAAATGGCCCAAAATAGGGCCCCCAAATTTAGAAAAGTATTTTAGTATATTACAAATATAAATATGCCCAAATTATTTTTGTTGTTTTAGGGCCAACCTAAAGGACCCAAAAATATTTTGTTGGGCCCATATTTGTTTATAAGCGTGGTTTGGCCCAATTGAAATTAAAATATATACAAAATAATGGTAGCCCTTGAATGAGAAACACTACATACACATACAAAATGTTAGTGGCCCAAAATAGGCACCCTAATTTTTTTTTACCTTCTTTCTTTATCAGACTTTAGTGGAATAAATAAATTTGCCCTATTTTTTTTACCTTCTTTGTTTATCAAATTTTAGTAGAATAAACAATTAACTCAATGTCAATCACACTCATACACAACATATTCAATAAACAACTATGCAACCACACTCATAAACAACATATTCAATAAACAACAATTAATTCAATGCATATCCAATACAATTTAATTGAATAAAGTTTTCCTCATTTTGGTAACTTTTTTTTTGGTATGAATACATTTTGATATCTATTTTGGTATCAATTGACGGTAGTGAGACCAAATAGGGTGAATTTTTTTTTTCTTCGTGAATATAGGCCTCCGTTTTTGTTTCGCCTTAGCCCCCAAAAACTCAGGGCCAGCACTGCGAGAAAGCCATGTGGAATGGGGATTTTTGGATTTTACCACAAAGAAGAAAGCATTTGGAGATAGGTGAAGGAAATGGAATCAAGGTTACCATTTTTTGTGTCTAATCTTTGGGTGGTGGTTAAAGCAAAGATGGTACTTGTTTCAAAACTATGAACATATCACCTAGTAGATAAAAGTTTTTTGTAAAGAATGTTTTATTCAAGAAATACACAAGTAATACAGCAGTGGATAATACATACGTCGCACGAGTGATTAATTAAATGTGCAATGCTTCCGGCCCTTGTGGCATCAATGACACGCTCATCATCAATACGAAACATGTAAGTCCCAGCACCCTGAGAAAGAGGAGAGGGAGAAGGGGACAAAGAAATAGAGGAAAAAAGAAACCGTCAAGTACTTTTCCAGAGATGTTACTTCCCACTTTCAGCAATCCAGTATCTACTCATCAATTAACTGTGGCAACTAATCCCATGATTGAAATTAATGCTGTTCTTTATGACTTTCAACACAGGACTTACAACTACATAGATTATCAGATACCACATGCATGAGTATAGAGAGAATATATTGCATCATTCAGAGGAATTTGCAGGAACACTATACAAACATATTCAAGGCAAATTCGTTAGAGATAGCTCAAGAAATTAAACATATATGTCTTATGAAACAGAGTGCACAGAACCACAAGCAAATGATTCAACCATACAGCTCTTCTCCTGAAATTGTACATGTACATTAGTTGTATATCATTAGGTTGATGTTTGTGCATAAATATAAATACACAATAATGCAAGTATGAATGTGAAGAAGATATGAACATTCACACAAATCAGGTTGATACGGAATTTTTAAAATCATATCATCACAACAAATAACATGACCTCCTTCTCAAGAAGATAATACTGCAAATTAGAGAAGACAACCCAATCTGCTCGTGTGATAGAGTAGGGGATTCGAATGTTGAAGCAGTTTAACCAACAAGTTGATATGAACTTAATGTTCATCATTGCAATACTACTCCATTGATTATGTTTTATCAGAATGTAGCAACATCTCCAACCAAAAAAGAAAACACATCCAACCTATCTCAAGATGAACTTGCTTACTCTTTCTCTTCTTTATATTTGATTTTTTTTTTTTTTTTTTTTTGGTCCCCCCCCCCCCCATCCACCCACCAAAGATTTATCTATGTTTATCTTCCCTTTTTAATTTTTTGTAAAATTTTTTTTGTCCTTCTTTTTGGTTTAAATTTTCAACACATACTCCTACAAATCACCAAACTATGTAATGGCTAAGCCAACACTTTCTTACGGGGGGAAA